GCTAATTGAAAAAAATACATTTTAATAGCATAATTTTTGGCGCTGTGGTTGTGTCTGCTATTAAATCGCCCGTCTGGCGGTTTTCCTCATGATGTGTTTGCTGCGGTTATGTTGGGCCTCGCACTCAACTTGGCTCTTTGCCCTATTATTAGCCAGCTATCACCTGAAAACAATCTAAGCTGAGCTGTCACGTTCTTGCCGCTACTTCGATGACATCAAACACTATTCGAATGAAATTTGTTTTTGATTAGACGATTTGTATGCTGCTTAAATCAGAGCCTTATGTTTAATAAAAGAAATTGCTTTTGCTGCATGTATCTGTTGTGCAAGCCAGACGTTGCTCCCAGCTGAATTAAATTAAAAATTCAATGAAAGCACATTAACAGCGTCGCGTCAGATTGGTTTTCATCGCAACCGTCTGACAGGCGATTGAGCAAATTTGTTATTTCAAATAATCGAACTGTGTGTCTGTGGCTCGGTCGGTTTCTTGGATTGCTTATATTGATTTTGCGCCGCAAATGAGGCGTCAAAGAAATCAGCAGCTGTTGGTTGTTCCTCTCGTCTGTGGTCTGTAAGCTGTCTACTGAATTAAGATTCAGTCTAAGCGCACGAGACACAGCACACGGCAGACGTCTATTGATGTATATATTTTTGATTACTTTATTTTTATGAGCTATTGCCAAGGCATATTTTTGAAGGAATATAAATATGTTTTTGTGCTTTTCAATTATATCTTTATTTCTAAATTAATCTTTTATGTTGTTTCTATATTTGTATAACAAGCTGTACTAAATAAATATAATAACTTTCATTATAATTATCATTATTATTACCAATATCAGTAATATGATCAGTATCAGTATTATTATCAGTAATATGATCAGTATCGGTATCAGTAATATGATCAGTATCAGTGTCAGTATCAGTAATATGATCAGTATCAGTATCAGTATCAGTATCAGTACCAGTATCAGTATCAGTATCAGTATCAGTATCAGTATCAGTATTAGTATCAGTATCAGTATCAGTATCAGTATCAGTATCAGTATCAGTATCAGTATCAGTATCAGTATCAGTATCAGTATCAGTATCAGTATCAGTATCAGTATCAGTATCAGTATCAGTATCAGTATCAGTATCAGTATCAGTATCAGTATCAGTATCAGTATCAGTATCAGTATCAGTATCAGTATCAGTATCAGTATCAGTATCAGTATCAGTATCAGTATCAGTATCAGTATCAGTATCAGTATCAGTATCAGTATCAGTATCAGTATCAGTATCAGTATCAGTATCAGTATCAGTATCAGTATCAGTATCAGTATCAGTATCAGTATCAGTATCAGTATCAGTATCAGTATCAGTATCAGTATCAGTATCAGTATCAGTATCAGTATCAGTATCAGTATCAGTATCAGTATCAGTATCAGTATCAGTATCAGTATCAGTATCAGTATCAGTATCAGTATCAGTATCAGTATCAGTATCAGTATCAGTATCAGTATCAGTATCAGTATCAGTATCAGTATCAGTATCAGTATCAGTATCAGTATCAGTATCAGTATCAGTATCAGTATCAGTATCAGTATCAGTATCAGTATCAGTATCAGTATCAGTATCAGTATCAGTATCAGTATCAGTATCAGTATCAGTATCAGTATCAGTATCAGTATCAGTATCAGTATCAGTATCAGTATCAGTATCAGTATCAGTATCAGTATCAGTATCAGTATCAGTATCAGTATCAGTATCAGTATCAGTATCAGTATCAGTATCAATATCTGTGCCTGAATCTGTATCTGTATCTGAATCTATATCTGTATCTGCATCAGTATCAGTATATCTGTATCTGCATCTGTATCAGTATATCTGCATCTGCATCTGTATCTGTATCTGTATCTGTATCTCTATCTGTATCTGTATCTGTATCTGTATCTGTATCTGTATCTGTATCTGTATCTGTATCTGTATCTGTATCTGTATCTGTATCTGTATCTGTATCTGTATCTGTATCTGTATCTGTATCTGTATCTCTATCTGTATCTGTATCTGTATCTGTATCTGTATCTGTATCTGTATCTGTATCTGTATCTGTATCTGTATCTGTATCTGTATCTGTATCTGTATCTGTATCTGTATCTGTATCTGTATCTGTATCTGTATCTGTATCTGTATCTGTATCTGTATCTGTATCTGTATTTGTATTTGTATCTGTATGTGTACCTGCTTCTGTAACTATAACTCTAACGTAAAGAATTTTAAGTATTAAAATTATAAACAGATACGATAACTAAGTCTTAGTTGCACACTTTAATTAATTTTAGCGTCATACGCTTTGATAATTTGTATGATATACAGCATGGAGATACAATTTTGCTTGTCGAAAGTGTCTTTAGCGATTGTAGTTGCCCACGCGTTAATTCTGCTTGGTTCTTTGAATTTCATTCAATTAAATGCAGATTTTCCTAGACTTGCCGCAGGCGTAATGTGTAATCGCCATATTTGTTGCTGTTTGTGTTTAAAATAAGTCTATTTAGCTAGTGGGCTTTGCAAACTGTTTTGACTGTTCGGCATATATATTTAATGGCTTACCCTAAGATGAGTGTTTTGAGTGTTTTGTGGCTAAAACAACTGAATTATTTTAGCCATCAATTGAAAAGGTGTCCGTACCTTTAATTAATATCATATTTTCAAGAGCTTAGCACAAAATGAATGTTTATTGCAAATTGCAGATTGAAAATTGCCGGACTTGCTTTGCTCAGCAACGTTGTCTCGTGAAATATATGTAATTACTATTATTTCCTGTGAACTATTGAAAATATAAAGCGGGAATGCAAAAGGAAAATTATTGGCAGCCCAACAAGACGTGGGACAGCAGACAAATGCAGCCCAGCCAAACACACAAATGGTTTCTAGATCGATAAACTTTGCAAGGAGCACACAATTTGTGTGTTGAACCTGCCACGCCCACTTCCTAGATGCTGTAGCATAGACAATAAATTCGAACAAAAGGCAACACATTCGTCGAGTGGCAGCAGCAGCAAAGGAAGAAAATTGTCAGAGGCGGAGAGTGGCACAAGTTGAAAGAAAAGAAAAAGAGACAGAGAGAGAGAGAAAGATGGTGCTAGAGAGAGGGTAGGGGAAAGAAACAAAGTGAAAACTGAAACCAAATACCCAAACACAAAATGGCAGCTCTTTAGCTGCGATTTATATTTGAAATGCCTTTGGGTGGCCACTGAAGCGGCAAATGCTTTTGCGGCATTGCCTCCAATGGAGCGAGGGCCCTAAAAAAAATATATTGCACCGAAATATATTCATCGACGGCAGTTGCAACTTATTTTTATGCCTGTTAATTGCCAGCCAGACCCTCCACCCTACTGATGAGGTCCCTGCCCAGCCAGTTTTGCGCCAGCAATGGGTTCCACTTTGCATACGCAACTGTCAACTTTTGCCATTTTGGCAAACTTCACACCAGGCGGCTGCCAGCTCCCAGGAGTTATTTGTCTGTCCCCCCTATCCACTTGCCCATATGTGGGCATCATAAATATTTTCCAGTCCATTGATTTTTGGTCGCTGTGAATGTTGTCGATGTTGATGATGTCGGACGGACGGACAGAGCAAGAGCCGAAGCAGCAGCAGCAGAAGCAGCAGCCGCAGCTGAAACTTGTGTTCCAAACAACAGTTTCTGAATTATTTCAACTAACTATTTGAATTTGTAATGCAATTTAAAGCAACAAATAAATATAATCAAAATGCGGAATCTCGAAAGAACTAAAGGAACGTGAATCTTAATTCTCGAAAGCGGAGTGTATATTGAGTTGAGACGAAAAAAAAGTTTACTCATGATTACTTTAGTAATTTAGAATGAATGTATATAGGCTCACATCACTCTTTTGATAACTCTCAATGAACACATTCTCAAATTTTGCCTTTCTATGTGATTCTCAAGAATTCAAGTAAGCCTTACAAGTTTTTATGCTTTTTAATAAAAGTGTTTTATAAAATAACGTGTTGACAAGTGCTGTAAAGGTCAAGTTTGTGATATAGATATGTATATATGCGTGTATGTTTATGTGTGAATGTTTATATATAATGTGTACGCATATATACTAATTAGCACCTTAATATTTATATCCGCAATTCGCTATTATCAATATTAATGTATATTTATATATCTATATAGGGATTATATTTATATATATTTATATACAACTATTGCTCAAATTTAAATTTATAACTTGTCGAAATTGTCGTGAAATTGATTTCAAAATCATTTCCGTCGGTAATTTGCAACTTGTTGTTGCCTGTTACGCATAAGCTACCGTTATCGCCGCCCAACACCCCACTTCCGCCGCTCCAACCCACTTAACGGTTGCTCTTTGGCTATGTTTTGTTTTGTTTTCAGCGACACTTGATTGCCTTTATGTGTGCGTCAGTCGGGCTGACGCGTAAAAGTATGCTACACTTCAAATAGACTCAAATTATGTTGTCGCTGAGAGAGTGTAAGCAGGACAGAGAGAGCGTCTGATGGAGTGTGAAGAGAAAGGCAAGTGTGTGTGTCTGTGTGTGTTTTTTGTTGTATGTGCGGTGTTTGCTTAACGCTTTTTATGCCTGACAACAATTTTATGTGCGTCGCTCATAAATATTTTTGCTCAAGTTAATTGAAACATTACCAAAAAAAATGCTTGTTGGCAAATATTGAAATATTTCTGGGTTGGGCACACGCTAATAGGCTGTATATATGCTTTTCCTTTTCTTTTTTCTGCTTGATAGGTTTTCTGGTAATAATTTATTGGCGGTTGTTTGTTTATAATTGATTGAACAAAGCAAAGCTTGAATCGAAACAAAATCGAAGTTTGTTTTAAGGAATGAAACATTTTTTTGGGCATCATTTTGTTCCCATATAGTAATGAGAGGTGCACAAGTAATATTATTTATTAATTTATTACTCAAATGTAATCGAAGATCCCTTACAAAAAATATTACATAAAACACAAATATGAGGGAAAACAATAAATATATTCTGACCTTATTCTTTAAAATCTTGATAACAACTAATTTATCTACATCTGGTCTTCGTCTTCTGACGCGTTTATGGCATTTAAATTGATCATTTTGTTAACGCAAACTGACCGCTTGCCTAACTACTTCGTCAATCGATTTGGCCACATAATCAATATTATTTAAATTCAATCCGCAGACATTTATGCGTCCGCAGTTTAGCAAATAAATATGCTTCTCTTTTAACAATTTATAACATTGATTTGCTGATTGATAAGGAAGATTTAAAGATTTGAATCTGTTAAGTTATTTTTTACTCACGTGGCAATCCCAAAAATGAGAACATTCCACGCTGTTTTTCAATGTGATCCCATGTACCGGGAGTTTCCAGCTCTTTGAGTTTATTGGTCAATGCTTTCCGCATTTTCTTAATACGATCCACCATTTCGAGTATAGTTTTTAACCTGCATAAAAGGAATTGTATGTTATATACTATCCTATTCGGGACATTTAAATATCACGCACCATTCTTTTTTTTTATTTTCGTCCGTAAGGAGCTTTGCAACAACACGACTACAAAACGCAGGTGGATTTGAATAATTTGTACGAATTAAAATCGAAATTTGCGAAGCTACCGCTTCAATATGATTTGCATCCTTCAACACGAATATCAGATTGCCAACGCGCTCATCTATAATTCCAGTAGAAATCAGCAATTTATGAAATAAATTTATTTTATAATTATTTAAAGGCTTCAGACTGTCAAAACTTTTCGTTGGTTTTCGTGCCAGCACAGCACCATTTCATTTTACGACAACTACATTTTTAATCGATATACAAACATTTATAGCCACACATATGTTCCTCAGAACTCAGGTGATAGCCATCGACTATGGTAGTTCGAATAAAAAAGGCACTGGCTCTAGCACTAGCAAGCGTCATTAAAAAAAACACCGTCTAAAAAAGCCTTCAAGTCGCACTTACTGTATAGGCCCATGTTTTTGGAAAAAGATTGTGCTATTAATGTTTCCATGCCCTTTTTGACAAAGTATCGAACTGCCCAGGTATCGCGATCCGGATCGCCACTTGCAAATCCTTGATACGCAACATCGAAGAATGGGAAGAGATTGCGTTCTTTTATAACTTGGGCTATTTGCTTCCATTGTCTTTTAGTAGGATCCATTCCAGTCGGATTGTGTGCTGAAGGCTGCAACAATATAACATCGCCCTCCGTCGCTTCATTAAGGGCTGCCAATAGATTGGATATATCAATATTTCGTTTTGCATCATTCCAATAGGGATAACCCTTTAGGGTCTTAATGCCAGCATGTTTTAAAATAAGTGAATGGTTCTTCCAAGTAGGATCAGACATGTAACAAGTTCGTTTCTTTAAATGTTGGCTTATAAATTCAACAGCTAATCGAAGGGCACCGCTGCCTGAAATAGTTTGAACTCCTACAATCTGAAGGTAGAAAAAACACCATTAGGTGTAGTAGATGCAGAAGAGTAATATATCGTTACGCGATTTTCTTCAATTGCCTTGCAGTCCTTCCCTAAAATGAGTTCGCTAGCCGCCTTTGTAAACTCTGGATTCCCAAATACGGGTAGATACTCAAAATTTAAATTTGGATCTTGAACTAATTCTAATGCACATTTTTTTACAACCGGCAAAATGTAAGGTTTGTTTTCTTCGGTTCGATACACTAAAGCATAATTGCTTTCAGTTTTTAGTAAATAGCAATTAAACAAATCAATCTAATCCGCTTACCACCTATTCCTAAATTTACTTTATTCTCGTTCTTGTCTTCCTGAAACAGGTTTGTTAAACGAGAAATCCCCTGGGGCGTCAATGTTTTAATATTTTCGAAGGCTGATTTCTCGCAGTCGTCCGATCCGCAATACTCACGGGTGGTTAATTTGAATAAACTGAAGATTATTTTGGTTATTAACATACATATTCAACTGATTTGAATTTGGTTTGTTACTTTAGCTTGGATAAAAGCGAATATCTAGAAAATTTAAGCATATTGGAAATAAAATTAAAAATTTGGAATGACACCGGAATAAATTTAAGTCATGAATGTGTTATGAATTCCTATTCAAAGACTATGTTGACTTTTGTTAGCCTTGTGTCTCTACTCCGTAAATCGCCAAATCTCTGCCCCACACTATTGGAAATCCAACCTTGATTAACATCGGTATTTATGGTCCGATTTATCTGAGGGCTATATTATGGCCAGGTTATAAATATATAAATATTTTTTTTAAAACATTTTTTTGTTTATTTTCTTTTTGGGATTGTTCTATAAAAGGTAATACAAAAAAGGTAATACAGTGCTTAAGGCCATGAAAATCGCGTAAAAGGGCGTTTGAATCAACGCGGTGCTCACTGTAGTAAATCTCACTATTTTGCGCTTGTGCATGACAACTATCCCAGCTTCCGGTTCAACGAGAGCCATGTTCCTTGTCTCTGGCTCAGGCTGAAAGAAAAATCATTTACTTTTTATTCTGTTCTCAATATAGACATCGGTTTTTATGCCTTTAGTTTTCTCCAAATTGGTAGTTTCTTCACTCGAACCATATATATATTATAACCACCATTACATATCTTTATCAGTCCCACCAATTATCTCCTTATCACTTGAACCAATTGCCACGTTATTGACATCTTTATCACTCGAACCAATTATCTCAGTGCAATCCTTATCAGTCGAACCAATTGCCTCCTTATCTTTTTCAATCGAACCAATTATATCTTTGGTGCAATCCTTATCAATCAAACCAACTGTTTCCTTATTATCTTTATCGATTGAACCAATTATCTCAGTGCAATCCTTATCAGTCGAACCAATTGCCTCCTTATCTTTTTCAATCGAACCAATTATATCTTTGGTGCAATCCTTATCAGTCAAACCAACTGTCTCCTTATTATCCGTATTAATTGAACCAATTATCTCTTTAGTGATCTCCTTATCACTCGAAACATTCGCATCCTCAGTGTTATCTTTATCACTCGAGCTTAATAACTCTCTTTTGCAATCATTAATGATCGAACCAATCAAATCTTTAGTGAAATCCTTATCAGTCAATCCAGTTACCTGTATAGTGCAATCTTTATCACCCGATTCAATTGCCTCCTTCATGTTATCGTTGTCAATCGAACCAGTTATTTCTTTATTGCAATCCCTATCAGCCGAACCAATTAAGTCTGTAGTGATATCCTTATCAGTCGAACCAATAACCTGCTTGGGGCAATCCTTTTCAGCCGATCCAATTGCCTCATTTGTGTTATTTATATCAGTCGAGCCAATTATCTCTTTAGTGCAAACCTTATCAGCCGAACCAATTGCCTCCTCTGTGTTAACTTTATCAGCCGAACCAATTGACTCTATAGTAATATCCTTATCAGTCGAACCAGTTATTTCTTTAGTGCAGTCCATATCAGCCGAACCAATTGCCTCCTCTGTGTTAACTTTATCAGCCGAACCAATTGACTCTATAGTAATATCCTTATCAGTCGAACCAGTTATTTCTTTAGTGCAGTCCATATCAGCCGAACCAATTGCCTCCTCTGTGTTAACTTTATCAGCCGAACCAATTGACTCTATAGTAATATCCTTATCAGTCGAACCAGTTATTTCTTTAGTGCAGTCCATATCAGCCGAACCAATTGACTCTTTAGTGATATCCTTATCGGTCGAACCAATTGCCTCCTTTGAAGTGTCTTTATCAGTCGAAGCCATTAACTCTTTAGTGCAATCCTTATCGGACGAACCAACTACCTCTTTAGTGATATCCTTATCATTTAAGCCAATTGCTTCCTTATTCGTATCATTTGAATCACTTTCTTCTTTTTTGTTATCCTTATCACCTGAACCACTTGCCTCCATTTTGTTATCTATTTCATTCGAACAAATTATTTCCTTATTGATCTCCTTATCACTGTTATCCTTCTCAGTCGAACCATTTGCCCCGTTTTTGTTATCATTGTCACCTCCACCAGCTGCACAACTTGCCTCCTTAAGAACTTCGCTAATAGATTCGGCAACGTAATCGAGATTTTTCGTGTTCAATCCGCAGATATTAATGCGTCCCGATCGAAGCAAATAAATATGCTTATCTCTGATCAGTTTTTCACAATGTTCCGCTGATAAACAAATTGATGCTCAAAAGGGTTATTGTCTTTAAAAAATAAATCCACTTACGTTGTAGACCCAACATTGAGAACATTCCACGCTGTTTTACAATGTGATCCCATGTACCGGGTGTTTCCAGCTCTGTGAGTTTTTCGGCTAATTCTCTCCGCATTGTCTTCACACGATCAGTCATTTCGGTTAAATATTTCAACCTAAATACAGGGAGACACTAACTAAATAATATCCTTTTTTATCTAGTGTTTTAAGTATCGCTTACCAATTATGTTTATTGTCCTCGTTCGTCAACAGCTTTGCAACTATACGACTGCCGAACGCGGGTGGATTTGAATAGTTATACCGAATAAGATTTGTTAACTGGGAGGCTACAGCTGTGGCATGTTTTGCATCTTTCAACACGACTACCAGATTGCCGATTCGCTCATCTAATTTCAATGAAAATCAGAAACCCATGAACACTTTAACAGAAAATGAAATTCACAAAGGCTTGTTCAGACTAAGGAGAACTGAATTCACCTGTTCTATTGGGTACAAAATCTTGGTATAGCAAATAAAACCCCTTGTATAATTTAGACAACAAAAGAAAAAAAAAAGTTCTGAACGAGCCTTTAAAACGCACTCACTGTATAAGCCCATGCTTTTGGAAAAAGATTGTGCTATTAATGTTTCCATGCCCTCTTTGACAAAGTATCGAACTGCCCAGGCATCGCGATCCGGATCCCCACTTGCAAATCCTTGATATGCAACATCAAAGAATGGGAACAGTTTACGCTGTTTTATAACTTCGGCAATTTGCTTCCATTGTTTTTTTGTGGGATCCATGCCCGTGGGATTGTGAGCCGAGGCTTGAAATATAACTATGGCTCCTTCTGGGGCTTCGCTGAGTGCCGCCAAAAGCTTTGAGATGTCAATTTTACGTTTTTTGGCATTCCAGTAGGGATAATGTTTGAAGTGCTTGAATCCAGATGCCTTAAAGATCGTAGAGTGATTATCCCAACTGGGCTGGGGTATGTAACAAGTGCGTCGCTTCATAAGTTGGCTCATGAACTCAGCAGCTAATCGAATGGCACCGGTGCCTGAAAGAGTTTGAGCTGCCACAATCTGATGGTGGAAAAAATTCCATTGTGATGAATTGGAAGAATTTCTATTAATCAGAATGCTTACTCGGTTTTCTTCAATTGCCTTGCAGTCCTTCCCTAAAATGAGTTCGGTCGCTGCCTTTGTAAACTCTGCATTGCCCAGTATGGGTAGATATTCATGATTCATGTTGGGGTCTTTAACTATTTCCAATTCACACTTTTTAACAACTGGCAAAACGAAAGGCTTGTTTTCTTCAGTCCGATACGCTGCCAAATAAGTGATTAAGATTCTCAATTGCGTTTCAGTATTAACTGAATGGGATTTGAGTCTACCTACCGCCAACTCCTAAATTGACTTTTTTCTCGTGCTTGTCCTCCAAAAAGAGCTTTGTCAAATGAAAAACCTCAATGGGTGGCACCGCCTTAATGTCGGCGAAGACAGATTTCTGGCCCTCATCTGATCCGCTGTACTCACGGCTGGAGAACTTAAGAAAACTGGGAATAGTTTGATATTTAAAAGGATTTCTACGTGTTGCTTAGAATGCATTTTTACCTGTTTTTCGATGCAAATAAATGGCTGGGATATCTAAGCATAACGAATACCATTAAGTAAAATTTAAAAATTTGGATTCTAACGTGAAGAAAATTTTGATTGTTTTTCGAATGAAAGATATATCGATGTGTTTTAGAAACCTATTCAGAGTTGTTTATGGAAAGTAAATCGCGTGCGTGGAACTTCGCCAGCATATACAAAACTAGAAAACCAGAAAACTGCGCCAATTAATCTTGTCTTTTTCAATGGCCTGCATTCTTAAGAAGATTTGTGGACTGCGCAATGAATGGCGTAGATGTTAGCATCAATCAGTTTAAGTGATTGTAAATTTGAGATGTATTTAACAGCCCGCGTCCCGCTTTGGATTTATTTGCCAACGATTTTAGTTTGCTTATGGCCCAGGAACTTGAATATGACCGCAGCAAATCGCTGCCTTGTTTGTCTTATATATACCGGACTCTGCCACAACAACAACAGTAGCTACAATAACAATAACATCAAGAACAACAACAACACAATTTGAATGTTTTCATTGCAAGTTGCGTAGCTGCTGCTGCTGCTGTGGCTTGCGTTATCTTCATTGTTTGGATTTCAGAGCTTCGCATGGCAGCCATATCAGCCAGGCCAACTATTTGATGGTTGCGTTGGGGTCAGCAAGGCGGAAGTAAGCCAACGCCAGGCAGCAAACGTTTTTGAGCTACATTCAAGTTGCCGTCGCGCCTGTCGATCTGGGTCATAAACTTAGTTAATTGCTAGGCCAACTCTGATTTCATTGCACTGATTAATTGCAAATATTTTTCTTTTAATTGTGGACAAAAATGGCCGAATATGGACATTTTCTGTATAAGTAAAAATCTAACAAAGGAAATGGGAATAGAATTAATTTTTAATGCAAGTTTAAATTATTTACTGCATTTATCTTTTTTTCTTTTATAATATCTTATCAAGAACAATCAAACCTCTATCTTTATTGCTGCAAAAGTCGAATACCTTAACAGAATCTTAAGAATTTTCCTTCAATTTTTTTTTTTAATTCTCAAGTGGTTATAGCTTTGCAACGCCAACTAGGGCTAGAAAGTCTAGAGTCGGTAACAAAGTCTGCTTGTAATAGAGACAGGGGGTTCTTGAAATAGCTATATAGACAGCCTGCTTACTTTTGGTGTTAGAAACAACATTGGCCCGTAGCTATAGGCATAATGTGATGTTTTGGGAGACTAAAATTTATGCTCTTTAATTGAGATTATATCATACCGTCTTTTTGAAATTTATCTCGCTTAATTCTATATCAATCAACTTCGTATAACTGACCAAAGATCTCGACTAGAAAACTTGACATACCAAATGATTTGGACTTGATCTAATTAAAAGTAAGCTTTTTTGCTTATGAATAACAATGTCAATGTTATATAACAACAAAAACAAAGCAAAAATTAATAGAAAAAATAATATATTTGTGGATTTGTAATGACATACAATTCAGAAGGGAACACTTTTATATTCAAGTAAATTTACGTTTCTGTCTAATTGCATTCCCAAATCAATTTAAGTTACTTGTGAGTGCATTCGTGCATTGCCATCAATGCGGGTTGCTTGCTTTACATTTTAGAGTAGTCATAAAGCCTGAACCAGAAGTTTTGGGGAAGGCAACTATTTCTATGTATCCCGGATAACCTATCAAATGTTTTGCCAGCTTGTTTAACAAGCCTGGCGAGAGTTACATATAAACTTACACTGTGAACAGTTATAGCTACAGCTCTGCTCTGTCCTGGCAATCCCCGCTTGACCTTATCCATAAAACACTCGTAACCCGTTTCCGCTGCACATTTGCACACACAATCAAGGCGACCGCAGCGGTGAGGCATGCTTAATGGCCTTGCATTGCGGATGGAGGAGGAAGCCATTTTTATACATTTTATGCACACACGCACACAAACATGGTTAACGCCAGCGTAGCTATCAGCTTTTTGTCGTCCTTGCTCATCAATTGGCGCAGAGACGCTGCTGCTGCGCCTGCAATTTATTTTTTATGCATGAAGTGTAAATTAAAATTAAATTGACTGTGCGAAGCTCACGTTAGAAACGTTTTTTTTTTTTGCCGTTGCGTGCCACGCGGCGTATGAATAATAAAAAATGGCCACGCCAGCAGCAACTTAAAGTTTGCCAATGACCGCCACTCGCTGCGTGCCGGCCGCTCTTACCATTTATTTATTATCACATATTCATTCGGCCCTTTTATTTTGTGTTTTTAATTAAGTTATAAAATATTAATTTGTTCAGTTGTTTTTATGGCTGTTGCATCGTTGTTGCCGCTGCCGCCGCTGCCGTTGGTGCTGTTGCTGCGGTTGACATGCATTTTGCGGTCTCGTAGTGCTGCAGCTCTGTGGCAATTTGGTGCCTCCATCTTCCCTACATCAACGTTGCCCGCTGTGCTCAGTGCCAGTGACACTGTCAGCGGCAGACGAGGCAGCGGCTCAGGTTTATGTGCGTTCCAGAGTCGTCGAGAATCCAACGTATTGAATATCGCTGTCGCTCTGCTCTATATAACTTTGCTTTCAGCTTCCTTTTATCCCTCTCGCAGGCTGCTGCTGCGCCTGCTGCTGGCATTTTACGCGTCATTTAACCCATTCAATTTGGGTTTCAAATGCAACAAATTCTCACAATTCTTTGCGCCACCTGCCTCGAAGCAGCTGCCGTCTCTGTAAACTAGATTGGCAAGGGTTGAACTTGGCAACGTTTGTTGCTGGCCTTTTGCAGTGGAAAACTAAGTACTTTGTGATTCTATCCGCAGAGTTATGTTAAATTCATAAAAGGTTTACAGTGAAATTTGTTCGGTTCTTAATGCTGATCGACTGAATTACATATATTTATAACCCAGAGTGAGAGACTTGTCCTCCTCTCTTCTGTCTGACTTCTAGTTGCTTATGATGTAAAATACTTATACTTTTAGCTCTCCTTTTATTCTTTTCTGTTTGCCATTTTACTTATAGCTTCATAGTAGCAGCTTCTCGTTATATCTGTTTCCCATCATTGTTCCATCAATACATATCCAGTAGTTCATGAAGCCTTGGCATAAACCACTTGCCAGTCGGGCTTATCTATCTGTCTTCATGCAGTTATTCATTGACAACTTTATAATGCTTTGTATCTGTTAATCCCGCATCACCATCTTCCGCCACATCATGCATGCGCTTCCGTTTCTTTCTTTCCATTTTTTAATCTTGCAATTCCACAACCTAACCCAACTTTCATTGTGCTGGCGCTAGCTGCTGCGGACTGTAACATGACAGCTGTCATATGTTGCTATTCCATATCACATTTTATAGCATAGTTTTTTTTTCTTCCGCATTCCGTTTCTATCTGAGCTTTGTTTTGTGCCGTTACGCTTTATTATCAATTTCTTCTTCTATTCGTATCACAACATTTTTACGCACAGCACGTGCTGTGACTGCGGCTCTCTCTCTCTCTCTCAGCAAGACGAGAGCTTTCGCTCTCACTTTTGCGCACTTCAGCCTTTTTTTTTGTACTGTGTCCAGCTCTCTCTCATGTTCTCTCTATTTGGCTTGTTCTCTTTGGCTGATTGGAAGTTAAAACTTTTGCTGTGTGCGCGTGTAGATAATATATTTTCATTTCTTTTTTGCCATTTTCATTGTTTCTGTTTTGCTCTGTTTCACATTTCAGCTGTGCCACATTTGGCCCATGACTTTGGCAGCGTGCGGAACTCCTTTCGCACGGAAACTAAAGCCTGCATTTAAAAATAAATTATTGTGCCAGCGCACACACGCACACACATACACAGATAGTTGGAGACCCTTTATTTTAGTCATAGTTTCAAGCACCTCTTGAGCGTACATTGAACTGCTGACCCAAACACCTGTCTAGATTGCGGGCTGCGATTGTGTTTCGGTTCTTGGGGGTCGTCAGTTGACTAGTATTTTCGTCATTCTTTAAAAATAGTTTGTGTTCCGCTGCGGGGTACGGCATGTGCTTTATTTTATTACTCTATTTAGGAAAATGTGGGGATGTGATTTAGTGCGGAAAATTAAAAGGGTTTACGGCTTTATGGATAAGTGGTTGTAGGGCAAATAATAGGCAGATCCGCTTTGAGGACACTGTGCAATTATTTTCATGAGTCAATAAAGTACAAGGCTTTTGTTGACGTCTTGTATTCTTTTGAGTGCCTTTCTTTCTGACTAAATCTACAGAAACGCAGCACACATTAAACTAATAGGTAAATATGTATGGGAATTATAGTTTTTCAATATTCACTTCAAGCATATTTTTAATTTTAGGCAAAGTTTTAAAACAACAAATTTTAAAAACGTTTGCTTTAAATATTGTTTCTAGGATCAACATACCGCAAAAACATTTATTTGTTGGATCTGTTAGTTGGGCACGTTTTTAAAAATACAAAACATAAACATAATCAATACCTGCCAGCTGCACACGTTGAAAATTGAGGTCAATCAACAGCCAGAAAAATTGCAATAACAACAGCAACAACAAGGACAACGGTCTGAAATAATGATGAAATCGATGGTAGACCAATATCATTATGATCATCATCGACATTATTGTCATCATCGTCGTCCTGAAATAATGACATATTCCTGGCTCACGTTTCTCGTCCATCGTCGCAGAGCCGAGCAGCTCATTAATGTTTTTGTCCGCCATTTAGTCTGCATCTTTCTCTCTTGCCGTCCCTTTCCGTTTCGCAGAGATCCGCATCCTTTTGCACCTTTCTGCGCTATGGTAACGTCAAGTACTTCAATTATTTGCTGTGCTTTCAGTTCTGCCATTGAATAGAATTTTACGCCCATTGTTTGGTCAGCCATCGTCGTCGTGGGCGGCGCTATTGTTCAACGCTAATTAAAAGAATATTTCAGCAGATGTTTGCGGTTGTTCCCCGTTTTGCACAGGTATTATTATTTTTTTTTTTGGTATCGACTGCAGCTCCATTGTGTAGCCTAATGCCAAAGGTGAACGATGTATTTCTGGTTTGCACGTACGATTTCGGCCATTTTAGCTAATTGAATATGCATTTTAATGACATATAATTTTTGCATGTGCTCCTTAACTAACGCCGTGTTGGACCATTTAAATGAACCCGAATGACCTTTGGGTGGTGTAAAGTTTTGAGCTTAAAAATGGTTTCGTTCG